CACCTGGCCTAAGAACCCCCCCATTAATGTCTACTTTCCATGGATCTCATAGCACAGTGACAGTGATGATGATAGCTTATATATAAAGCTTCTAAGCATATTACCAGAGTAGTGAGGTGATGTTCCTGCAGTGATGAATAGTTAGAACTCACATGAAGACATGTGAACTATGCTTTTAGATCTTATATAAGTGACATGAGAATGGTTATAATCAATAGCTGTAGAGTGAAACGGGGACAAATAATAAGTGACAATAAATTTAATTGCTTGACACCTGAACATTGAGCATTCCCATGCTTTTTCATAGAGTTATAGTCTCATAGAATCATAGAATGGCCTGGGTTGAAAAGGACCATAATGATCGTCTAGTTTCAACCCTCCTGCTATGTGCAGGGTCTCCAGTCACTAGACCAGACTGCCCAGAGCCACATCCAGGCAGAATTTGTCTCACCTTAGGTGTAAAATTATGTTATCTGTTCTAGTTAGATCATTGAACACCCTGTAAATAATAATAATTAAAAAAAAAAACCAAACAGCCACAAGTAGAGAGCTGTTCATCTCACTCTCCTCTTCTGTTGATCTCTGAATAAAATGAAGCTGTTTTTAACACTCAGTCCAACTTAACAGAAGCCTAAGTGACTAGCTTCAACAAGACACTGCTGTAGGATAACTCAGCAGGTGTAAAATAATTCTCAGTGTTCCTTCTGGTTAGCAATCCAATGCTCAGACACTGTTTTGCACTCTTCTTCTGGTCCTGAATTTTGTTTGAATCTTATTCATGAGGGTTCAAAGGAGGGAGCAGGTTTATATGTGCTGTCTATCACAGAGAGGTCTCCTTTTAGCACTGAAGAAGCAATCTAAATTTCAGAATCTAAAACTACATCCCTAATACAATATGTATTTTCTTTAGATCTTTATGGTGGAACTAGATGATCTGAGTGTTCCTTCAATCTTAATGATTCTATGATTTAGTGTTGTGGTTTTTTATAATCTCATTTGCAAGTTGCAAGATGTGCTATAGACTCTTATTGGACTGAAATCTCCTTCTGGTATTTGTAAAAAGAGATTCTGGGAAAACTGTCCAAACTTAAGCTTTGATTTTCTTGCCAAATTTTTAATCACTGTCTCAACTAAAATATATATTTTCTGTATTTACACTTAAAAGCTTTTCTTTTAATATACTTCTAGGTTAGTAAAGAATAATTTTGCCTTTAAGCAGAGTTTTATAACACTCATTTCAAATGTACGATTTTTTTCAGTTCACTATCTGAATTTTTTTTTGTTCTTTCATTTTAGTCAACCTGTAGTATAGCTTGCAGTCAGTTATATCTGACAGGAGATCTGTCTATCTCTACATCTAGACAGGACGCTGTAATCCTGATGTCTGTAACTGAGACTTGTTTTTCTGCAGTTCCTTTGTGGATCTGAGTTGACTAATGTTAAAATAAGAAAAGAATTTCTAGGCTGCAGAATGAAAGCAGATGGGAATGTTTGTCTGCTCCAGTATAAAGTCACTGGACACATACCTAAGGTCTTCTGTAGAGAGGAACCCAGTACATCTCCTATCTCCTTTCAAAACTGGCAAGTGCTTTGAAACATCTCTAGGATGATGCAATGGGCTAGAAAATACAAGAATGAATTGCAACACATGGAGTATAAGAAAAAAAGAGTAAAAAACTGAATTTCATAAATCTAAAAAATATGATTTGTATTAACTCATTTGATTTTTTAATTATTATTATTTATTTATTTTCTTTTAGATAGGCCCTAGTTTTATACCTACCTTATTAAATCTAGAAGCCCATTGAGCTTCAGAGAAACACTGAAAGTGCTGAAAGCACTATACTTCTCCCAGTTTCATGCATCAACCTTCAAGGCTGTAAAAAAAAACCTGGTGTAATAAAACATTTCTAGAACCACAAATCAGAACTCTTTTGAGGTCAGTGATCACCTGTCACTTAATTTCCATCTACAGTGAAGGATTACTTTAGAGAGCCCCTACAAACCCAGATGATATCCCACAGTCTTGGCTTTGACTCTGTTTAGGCTGTTGTACTTTTCTAAAAGTGCATGTGGAATTCAAAATCAAAAATTCAATTTCACTTCCTTGCACTAGGACATGTCAGTTAATTCATAAAATAAACACTGATTGATAAAGGTAATAAATAAGCTAGAGATAATTGGTCTCTGTTTCTATCTTATTTGAACCATAAAATCCAATTTATCATTTGTGATTTCAAATTAAACTAGGGAAGTGAAACTGTATGTAATCACAACTGCTCGTGTTTGTCAGCTGGCATGCAATCTGAAACTCTATTTTCTTATGTAAAATATGACTGGTGTCTAAGAAAGACCCTTTGACAGCTGTCACTGAAAATTAAAAGTCCTTGACAACCATGTCCCTGTTTATTCCAGCAGCAGTGACATGGTTCAAAGGAGATTAGGTCTGGTAAATACGACTTGAAAGTATGACAACTTTGTTAGGATTGCTTCAGATGTTTTAACGGAGGTGCACCAGTGACCTTTAGCCATGAGGAGCCAGTATATTACTTTGTGTGTGCTTGATATGGTTTACTTCAAGTTTGAATGAGTGCAGAATAAATCTGTCTGAATGCTTCTATGTGAAACTCCTCTGTGAACTGTAATAAATGTTGTTCACTGTCATATTCTGGGATGATGGGCTTGAAAACCATGAGATAATGTATGTTTAGTGACTGCATCAAACTTTGCACTTTGAAAAAGTTTTCATAACAAGCTCATAGAGTAAAAATCAAGAGTATCTCAAGAGTCTTGTGTGTCAGTTATCAGATTTTTATTTTATTTCTTTGTTGTTTTTGTTGTTTGCTTTTTTAAAACCTGGCTTTATCCTACAATTTACTGCCCTTCAAGCTTTACGTTGATAGGGAGTGTATGAAGATGCCTCATGAGTTGTAGTCATTCAAAATATAAATGTAATACCCACAGAGTTGACAGGAAATTAAGGTAGATTACTTAAAGTCTCCAAGTACGGAATGAATAAGAATTTCAAACTACGTATAGATAAATGAATAAATCAGAATAGCATTTTTTCTCTTTTTGTTGTATCCGTTTTAATTTTGGTTATGTGCTTTAACTGTCAGTCAGTAATGCTAAACATTACAAGACAAAAGACACTAAAGTATCAAGAGCATTTCCTGAAAATTTGTACTATTAAATGAAGTTACTGCATAAGGAAGGAGATATTGTTACCTCTGCTTTTAACCTCATTAAGAGTGTGTTTAAATTTCAGGGTGACTGTATTGAAAGCCTCTTCGGACTATCGCTAAGTATTTTGGAACAAGCAGTTCAGCAGATGTCTTTCATTGTCTTATTATGAAGCTATGAGAGAGAGGACATTTGAAACAGATAGGACAAAAATGTAGTGAGCTATTACATTCAAGCTCAAATTAAAAATAGAAATTGTTCAAGTGCAACAGCGAATCATATGCCTTTCTGAAAACCACAATTATGGCTAGGGACATTCGTCACATTCTTAGGGATCCTTATAACAAAAATAATGAAGAAAGTAGATTTCCACTAAGTATGTGAAAATGTAATATCTCCAAAATCCTTTATTATATGTTTTCACCTCTATATTTTCTTATGACATTTTCAGTATCTACATTAACTAGAAGCAATAATTTATCATAGAGTTAAGAATTCTTGTAAGATTATGTGAGTCTGCTAGACTATTATGTTGTCCTTAACATATAAACCAATTGGAGCATTTTGGCTTTAAAACTTTAGTTCAACTCCTTTGTTGGCATCCTGAAGAGAAACATGATTTTTCTCTCTCCCTCACAGACACCTCCCTCAGACACTCCCTTGTTCCTTGTTTGAATAAAGACTTATCTTCATTACAAAACTTCACACAAAATTCTTCTTAGTCATTTCTACACCAGTGTTACTGCTTTTCATTCTTTGGCCTTAGATTTGCTTCTGTATCATGTTGGATACAGTACATTAGATTTAGATTATCAGTGGCCTATTTTGGAAGAATGTGAAATATGCATACCTTCTCAGCTGGGCACGGGCTTTTGCAGTGCAGTCACTGTTGTTGAAGGTTTTCAAGGCTTGGCTAACCAAAAACTGACTTCGTGTAGTGTTGGGGATAGCCTTGCTTTAATTGGGAAGCTATATTAGATATCATCTGAGAAATTCATTTAACCATCACTTCAATGGCTGTTTTGGTTTTGGTTTTTACAAATGTTAGTTAGATTAAGTCTCTAAAAGAATTGTCAGTCACCTCTAATTTAACCAAGTGATTCAATCAGTTCATCTTCCTGAGCTTCTTAGTAGTAGAAAGGCCCTTCCAAAGGGCAATTCATTAAAGTAAAGGTTGGAAGTTGTGCTGAATCTGATAGATTTTGCAACACTTTGTTGACTATTAACTGTAGGACTGTTAGGCACACAACTTAGCTAAACAATGTTGATATTTCCCATATAGAATCATAGAATGGTTAGGATTGGAAGGGAGTTTTAAGATCATTTATTTCCAACCCTCCTGCTATAGGCAGGGACACCTCCAGTAGACCAGGCTGCTCAAAGCCCCATCCAGCCTGGCCTTGAATGCCTCCAAGGAAGGGGCATATACAGTTTCTCTGGCAACCTGTTCCAGTGTATCACCACCCTCAAAATAAATAATTTCTTCCTAGTATCTAGGCTAAATCTACCCTCTTCCAGTTAAAAGCTATTTTTCCTAGTCCTGTTCTTACACAGGGTATATATCTTCATGTACATCCTGTACTCAACTTTGATGTTAAATTCCTATGTAACAAGAACCAGAAATCTATTGTAAAGATGCTAATTGCACTATCAGACAGCCATAGGGCTGAGAAGCAGAACAACATAAGGAAAATCATTTAAGAAGAACAGTAATCCCCATGTCTGACTCCACCTGTGTCACATCAGACGAATCCTTTTAAATATATATATATTTATTTCATTTTAAAAACTATGTATATTTTCTTTTTATTTTGTAGGTTTGGTTAAAAATTATGTCAAGCATGAGTTTTCCTTGGTGCAGTTGTAATGACTTGTCCAGGTAAAAGTAGTCATATATGTTAGTTTATCTGACATGTCCTTTTTTTTTTTTTTTTTTTTTTTTTTTTTTTTTTTTTTTTTTGCATAGCAACTATGATCATTTGTCAAAGCTCAAGCTTTCTGGTCACAATAACACAATACATTGCATTAAATTAGATTGATAGTGAACAAATTGACAGAAGAGCTGTTCAGAGTTATCTGCAACAGTTGCAGGAACTTAGAATTTAAGGGAGAGTTATGAAAATGTATAAAAATTTGCCACTGGCAAATACATTTATCAAAGGATTTGCTAGTATTTCAGTGTCTGAGTTAAAACTGAAAAGTCTTCCAGTTATAAAGCATTGTACATGCCTGAATGCCAGGTGTGCTTACTATGGCATAAAACCTCCCTATATATGTTTTTTTTTGTTTGTTTTTTCTATTTCTCATAAAGCCTGAAGGCAGCACTTTTCCAGATGATGTTGCTTATACCCTACAGGAAGCATCCATCATGCCATAATAAGCTCTTCCTGCCTGATTTGTTTCTTATTCATCTGGCAATTCATTCAATGTAAACTTCCAGACCTTAGTAAACAAGTTATTATCTTTTAGCCTGTCATGGTAAATTTGTCTCAGTGTCCTCAACAATTAGTTGATTTGGACAGTACTCAGTACTAATGGCCTTAAGCACTCAAGATAATACATCTTCTGAATATATTGTCTCTTCCTCTGAGGGTAAGCTCAGAAATCTATCAGAATTAGCATTTTAGGCTAGTGGCTTTTTTCATGTTTGCTACAAATCTCTGTTGTGTACTTCTTGAGTTCTGTATATGAATCAGCAACAGTACCATCTTTGTGAAGCACATATTTGTCTGTTCTGCAGCAAACACTGCAGGTTTCCACCCACCCCAGAGCATATCCAGCAGAGAAGAATTCATACAGCCACAAGATAAATCATATTTCCCACAGAGCAGTCTCCAGGAAAAAACTCTTTCTTCAAATCATCAATAGACAAATAAATTGCAGATTTGTTCTGAAACAGCCTACGGTAGCCACAGCAACATGCAACCGCTGTTGTAAGAAACACTACTTTTCAGCAGTTCCTAGTGTTCCTGGGCAATTCTTGAATACCCTGGAGGAAAATGATGTGGGGTGCTAGTGTGGTTCTGTTTCTTATGAAAGTGGCTCAATGTCTACAATAGACAAAAAATAGTCTTCCCAAGACAGAAAGAGAGATTCTGAGGAATTTGGGTTTTTTGATCTCCCCTATTTCATCTTAATGATGAGATATTTTGCCCTCCAATTTATTTATGTAAGAACTGTTGTGACATTCCAGGGCTAGTTCAAAAATTTGTTCAGAATATACACATGAGTAGTAGAACTAATAAAACACAATTTCAGGTGTTACTGTGTCATGACTTACTTAGTTTTGCCATGAATGCAATACCCTAAAGTTTTCCAACACCTTCTTTCTCTATTATGATATCAGCACTGCCCATGATTCCTTTAATCATAGAATCATAGGTTGGAAAAGACCTCTAAGATCATCCAGTCCAAGCAACCACCTACCATGAATATTGCCCACTAAATCATGTTACTAATTGCCACATCCCCACAATATTTGAACACTTTGAGGGACAGTAAGTCCACCACTTCTGTGGACAAATATCTCTGTATGTCTGCTGCCCTGCAAGGACGTCTGTGCATCAGCATGGGTAATACTATAACTGGGTCTGAGATAAGTATACGTTGATGGGTCAGCTTACATAAATGTGGAAATTGGCTTGATAGCATTCCAAAGAAAAGATGAACATCAATATTTCCCCTTGCATCTCTTCCTTCAATGCAGTCATGGTGGGAGGTGAAAAAATTGAGATAAATTACACTGAACTTCCATCTTGCTGCTCTTCTCATCTGCCCATTTATCCCAGACTGAATAACTATAGGGAGAAGAATTGCATGAATAGAGAGTGCAATTGCACAAGTCACATTTCCTTATGAAATTCACTGCACAGTAGCAAATCCTTGATTAGTTTGTCCATCCCCTATAGCTATTTTTCTTATTTTTTCTCATGCCATGTTTGAACAATTGGTTATTATAAACTACATTACACTAAGATTCAAGCAAATATTATAAATATTCCTTTACTCTACTTTTCACCACCAATTTCCAAGACATTTACCTGAATTTTACAGGTCAATTCCAGTCAGCTTTCTATTAAGGCAGAAGGAAAAACTGTAATTGTGTAATTATTTCCATCTCTACCCTTCTACCCTTCTAGAACATGACTCAGTGTTAGCTTTGAAGTTTTTTTTTCAGTGTTAGATTCTCTTCCCCCCCCCCCCCCCCCCATATCTCCACGAATCTCACATTTCAATACTGAAATAATTCAGACCCACTGGTTTATACTAGCCCCACTTCCTATTGCAGGCCCTGTCACTTCTTCCTGAAGTTCTCACTCATCCTATCAGTTTGGATTTTGGCAAATTTAGCTGCTGCCAAACAGTCACTGAGAACCAATTTCAAGCATGTAGCTGATGTTTGAAAGTATTCAGAAAAGCAGTTGATTTAAAGTGGTGAATCTTTGTTATGCCAGTGTCAGGACTTTGAAGTCTCTTATGTTTTGCTCTGAAAAACTGGAACAAAAGGGGAAAAAACAGACAAAAATCAGGGCTTGAATAATCTAGGGTTCTTGCATTTAAGCAATTTTGTAGAGAGAATCTAGAAGTGTCAGCTAAATCATGTACTTTACTGTAGTAGAACTAGATAAAACTCAATGAAAAATCCTACTAGAATATGTGAAGTCTGCACTAGAATGCAGACAGTAATAAAGAGGGGATAAAGAATGAAAGAAGATATTAAACTGGATCCGCCACTCAGTGCTGAAACATCTTACAGAAAAAAAATTGTGAATGCAGTAATTTCAGAAGGTGGCAATAAGAATTGTGAAGGAAAAAGAAAAAAGAAAACATAAGCAGTGACAAGATGTAGAAACTATTTTAAATGATCACAGATAAATAAATTGCTTAACAGAAAAGCTGATCTGCTTTGCAAAGGATAGCCCTGAAGACGTTTAAGACACAAGTTATAAATAATGTTTAACTGTTGCAAAGATTGTTTATAAAAATAAATGTGTCCCAATGGAATTTCACCCTAAGCACAGCAAGGGAGAGACATTTAGGTAGAATAAGGAACAGATTTATATTTGTGTTCTCATATGAGGAGGAAGATGCTTCAGCATGGAAACACAATGTCCAAAAGTGACAACATCACTGCAACTGGAAAGGGAACACACTTGGCAAAGTGACTCCCATCTACATGAAGGGTTATTAGGAGGATTGGGGGAACTACAGCCCTGTCAACCTGACTTTGATGCCAGGGAAGGTTATGGAGCAGATTGTCTTGAGGGAGATCACACAGCATGTGCGGGACAACCATGGGATCAGGCCTCACCAGCATGGGTTCATGAAGGGCAGGTCCTGCTTGATTAGCTTGATTTCCTTCTATGATCTAGTGACCCATCTGATGGAAGAGGGAAAATCTGTTGATGTAGTCTAAGTAGACTTCAGCAAAGTCTTTGACACTGTCTCCCACAGTATTCTCCTGCAGAAGCTAGCAGCCCGTGGCTTGGACAGGTACACTTTGGCTGGATAAGGAACTGGCTGGAGGGCTGATTGCAGAGAGTGGTGGTGAATGGAGCTAAATCCAGCTGGCGACCGGTCATGAGTAGTGTTCCCCAGGGGTCGGTGCTGGGGCCTGTCCTCTTCAATATCTTTATTGATGACCTGGATGAGGGCATTGAGTGCACCCTCAGTAAGTTTGCGGATGACACCAAGTTGGCTGGAAGTGTCGATCTGCCTGAGGGTAGCGAGGACCTACAGAAGGATCTGGACAGGATGGATAGCTGGGCTGAAGCCAATGGGATGAGGTTCAACAAGACCAATTGCTGGGTCCTGCACTTTGGTCACAACAATCCCAGGCAACGCTACAGGCTTGGGGCAAAGTGGCTGGAGGACAGCATAGAGAAAATGGACCTGGGGGTATTGATTGATGCTCGGCTGAACATGAGCCAGCAGTGTGCCCGGGTGGCCAAGAAGGCCAATGGCTTGCATCAGGAACAATATTGCCAGCAGGAACGGGGAAGTGATTGTCCCCCTGTACTCAGCTCTGGTGAGGCAGTACCTCGAGTACTGTGTCCAGTTTTGGGCCCCTCACTGCAAAAAAGACATTGAGGCCATGGAGCGGGTTCAAAGAAGGGCAACAAAGCTGGTGAGGGTCTGGAGCACAGGCCTTATGAGGAGCGGCTGAGGGAGCTGGGATTGTTCAGTCTGGAGAAGAGTAAGCTGAGGGGAGACCTTATTGCTCTCTATAACTAATTGAAGGGAGGTTGTAGTGAGCTTGGGATCCGCCTCCTGTGATCCTGTTCGCTGAAGAGGCGTTGTACCGGATGGCCTATAAGGCTCCCTTCCAACTCAAACGATTCTATGATTCTATGATGATTCTATGATTTTCTGTATGTCATGTTGACCTACCTCTCCTTGGAAGGTCTGTGGAATATAGAGCTATGTATGTGGAGACCTTTTTTAGGTAACTATAAACTTTCTTTTTTGTCTTTTTTTTAAGTTGCCCCAAATACAAATAAGTATGTTATGGTAGTAGAGAGCAAAGCTAAGGGACACTCTTTGAGCAAGATTTTTTTGCTTCAGGCTCATTGTGACTGATGTTTACAAGGTTTGCAGTTCTGTACAGTATCCTAACTTCCTGCAAAACAGATTAGAGAAAGCTATGCCCTAAAGAATTGCAGTGGATATATGTGAATATATGTTAAATCACACTGCAAGAAGTACTTATCCATTCTGAAGAAGTGAGTATGGGAAGGGCACAGGTTAGCTTGCTCCGTGCAAAAATATTTCAAAGCAAATAGAGTAACAACTCATAAACCCTGCACTTATCTGATACTGACAATTGATGTGAGATAATCCATCAGTAAAAGGATTCAGTTACCATAAACTATTTCATATGCTCAGAATTGTTGAGGTTGGAAGGCATGGTTGCCTCTGGTCCAACACTAATCCAACAGGGCCACTCAGAACATTGTGCTCAGCACCACATCCAGGGGCTCCAAGGAGGGGACTCCACAGCCTCTCTGAACAACATGTTTCAGTGCCTTGGAAAGTTATCTATCTGTCTTTAAAGTTATCTGTCTGTCTGTCTGTCTATCTATCTATTTGATATCTATCAAAAGTAAGAAGAAAAAAAACAAACAGACACAAACTACTTTTAAACCAGTTGGCTACAGAGGATAATGTAAACAAATCAGAATCTGTACATGTGATATGATTTGAAAGTGCAGCCCATCAACCCAGTGTATTTAACAGCACAGATCCCAAAATACTACACTACATGACACTTCAGAAAATGAAAGCATCCTGCTACATACACAGCAAATAATCAACTAATGAAGTTCAGGAAATATTTAAAAAGATGTAAAAAATATCTTGTTTTACTTGAATCTGCACTGCTGTAGCCAGAGCTTTTCAGTCTCCCGATAAGATGACTTCAGTAATAGCTTCCCTTAGCCAGATAACAAATCATTTGCATCTGTTTCTAAATTTAGTTTTATTTATTTTCAATGATGTGCTTCTTCTAAACTATTTTCACCTGCAAAGTGCTGAAGTTCTTAGCTATTTGTATGGCATCATTTAAGTTTCAGGGCAGTAAGTAACATACAGGGAAATATCTAGCATTAATAATGCAATCCTATTCAGCAAGTTAATGGTTCAGACTGAAATACAATTGAGTGCTTTGATACAGAAATCCAGGTTATTTCATGTTCTTCTGCTTGTTAATAATCAGAAGCAGCCTTGGTTTGTGAATCTTCTGATTTAGTGTTCAGACATAAAAAAAGAAATAAGGAGAAAACTGTCAGTCTTTCTGTCCTCCTGAATGTAGCATAGAGAATGCAAAAATACAGTTCAAAAGTTATTGCTTTCTGATTTTGTTTTTAGAATAATTTTGGTAATGAAAACAACATCCTT